CGCAGGGCAAATAAATCCCAGATTCTTTTGTTGTCTCAAAATGACCAAATTGAGGATGGATGGAGGGTACTGAAGTATTGCCCAACCAGGTGATGATTTGATGATTTTTGCTATCCCAATCATCAAGACGATCAAAGAACTTGGTTTCATTTTCCTTGTCATCTTTTGTAGGGGACGTATGTCTCCAGTAACAGTACACCAAAGTCTGCGTCCTTTTAGGAAGCTACGCACGGCCTGAGGCCATAGATTGTAGTTTGACCCCTTAAGTATGGTGTGTGTCGGTTGAGCAACCTCAATTTTGTCCATAGTAATTACTATGTTACTACTACGGACTAATTTGCCTAAGCAGATTTAGTTTGGCTGGGATAGTGTGTGTTCGACGAAGGTGACTGGCGATGGTGATTGTAGTCATGGTTAGGAACGGATCTAATGTATCAACTGAACTTTTTTTTTTTTAGTATTAAATAATAGTAATTTTTCCTTTTTTGAATTATATACCTCCACCGCACACCCCTCCCCCCCCCCCCCGGGGCGGAAGTTACAAAAAAAATCCCACTTTTGGCCCCCCTTACACAATTTCCTGGGTCCCTGGTCACGGTGACACAGACTAGTGGTGGTGAAAACAAAAACAAAAAACAAAAAATACAACAATGGAGAAAAAATAATAATTGGTGGTGGCTCTCATACCATGTTAGAAGAGGAAATAATATTAAAAAAGAGGAGAAAAGGCCAAGCCTTTGTATACCATTCCACACATTCAAACTGTACAATTGAGACTTATTTAATGGAGAGGGTTAGGGGTTGGTGAGTGCTATAAAAGTAAGCTATAAAAGGCATCTGGGTTGGTGAGTATTATACAAGTAAGCTATACAAGGCAATTGGGTTGATGAGTGCTATACAAGGCAACTGGGTTGGTGAGTGGTATACAAGTAAAGTAGAATATTAATAAATTATTAACAGAGTTGATGCCATTAATAGGTTTGCAGTTGGTGGCAATGCAACAATAGTATTGTGATAGTAGTGGTGATCATAATGTGATAATGGAGGCTGTGAGTACAGCATGTGGTGGTGATGATATTGATTAGGCTTGGTGTCATATTGAAACATTGATAGTTTGATACCATAGTTTTAGATGTGGCTTTGTAGTTTACTTTTATTAGATTTAATTGAAATCGCAATAAATTGTTTAGGTGACAATGACTACGGTTGTCGTGATAACTCTGAGATAGTGTTTTTTATTGTTCTTATTATATATATTTTTTCTTAGATTTACTGCTCTTCATTTAATTTAATATTTAAAAAGTTTTGGGAATAAGGTTTTTATAAGCTCTTTTTTCTCTACTTATCATTTTGTTATTGAGAAAGGGTATTGTTGTAGAAACAAAGGAAAATTTTTGGACCATCCTCAAAGCATTCTCCTTTGACATAAATTTTCAGATAACATCATGATTGATGTCATATATTGTCATCAGAAATGAAGGGTGACTAACTTAATGATGCTATGTTGCTCACTTGGACAGGTTAATCTCAAACGGTTGAGCAATTATTTTTGTTCTTGAAGTATACAATACAAACATGTGCTGCAATAAAGAATTGCAAAGTGGAAATTTATGGTGCTGCAAGTATGCTCCTCTGGATTGCCTCACTCTATTTAGTAGAATCTTGGATAATACCATTCCTGGGTTGTACAATGGGCTTCAAAAGTACACCTGACATGCAGATGGCAAGCCTTGTGCTGCCTTTTGATGGGATTGGCCGAAGGCCTCGCTGAATTGCAATGCTCCATTGCTTCCTTGCAAGGTTCCACTCCCTTCCATCCAATTGGTTCAGGTATTAGCCTTGAAGGGAAGTGCAAAATTGATGTTGGCTTGGGCTGCCTCATCCTTTCCATGACCAACTTTGTTGCCAATTCTTTCCCCACTTCGTTCACTGTCTCAAGGTGTTGAGTAATCAATCACACGAGATCCAGTGGCAATGGGTCTTTATGCCATTGTAATTTCTTGTTATGCCCTGTTTGATGGAGTTTGTCTTCCATGGGTTTCTTCTCCCCTCCTTACCCAGGTACATGCCTGTATGGTGTTCAATTCTGGTGAGTTCAGTAGCTTTTGCCTTGGCACGTTTTAATGTGCAAAGGATGCTGCCACTTGTGTTCTTTGGAGTGGTGATGGGTTCTATTTTGCATGATTAAGAAACCTGTTGGCACCCATGCTCTTGCATAGATTCTGGAAAGCCTTTGTATTCTTAGATACGAAATTACATTCTTGTGTTTATATTTATTAATCAGGTCAATTCACCATTTCTTCTTTTGCTGTGTGTACCTTATACTGGTTTTTTTTTTTAAGGAATTTCCAAAGATAGATCCAGACGGATCTTCCCATGAAGTTCATGCTTACTTGAAAACTTTACACCATAGATGTTGCCAAGCTACAAAAATCCTTCTCAAATCTACTCTCTCTATTGTGTAATTTTCAATAAATGTGTGTGGCATAATAATATGTAGGATTATGCTGTCATTTCACCAAAAAGCAAAATTTATTTAGTGATTCTTCTGTTTTGCCCTTTCACAACTCCCCAAGCCATGATGTGGTGCACTGAGGCTGCTGATTTGTCAACCCAAAGTAAAAGAGTAGAGTACCTTTATTCTTTAACAAATGTGATAATGCTTCATATTAGATGTCAACTACTTTGACAAAGCAATAGTTGTTTTTCAACCGTTGCATACATTTAGTTGTCCATTTGAAAACTTGGAGACTGCTAACCTTAAAATTCAAGTTGATGCATACTTCTGAAAGACAGCTGCAAGTCTGTCATCAATCTTCCAATTTTCACTTTTGCCCACTTCCCAAGACTATCTCACTTAGTTTGGCTTATCGTATGGACATAATAATCTCACTGTGACCAGCGACTTTCTCTAATGATAAATAGGCCACATTCTTTGAATCCCCTAGTTCACTTCATTGGGAATAGAATACAAGCTACTTAATTTCATGTGGATTAAGTTTGTGGTGATTGCATGGTAATAGCTCTGTCTTTAAGATATACTGAATGGATGCTTATATTTCTCCACAAATAAAATATTAGACAATAAAAAAAAAAAACATTCTTTTGGAATTTGATTGTGTTTATGATTGTTTTGATACTTCTGCAATTGCTTTTTGTCTTGGAGGGGGAACATCAGTGGGGACCGATTGGTTTCAGGTCACTTTCTATTCCTGGTGTTTGTCCCTGAAATGTTGGCTTGTGTATGTTTCTTTCTCCGACAACCCTGAGGACCCTTGTCTGCTATATTTGTCTCTTTAGATTGTTTGCAAATAATAATTAGGTCAGTTTTGAATGAAAAGGACATAACTTTCTTCAGCATTAAAACCTGAGAGCAGTTGAAGTCACAACCACTCAGACTGTTAGTGGATGTAAAGGCCTGAAATTTCTTTACCAATAGAACTTCTGTTATATTTTCTTTTCCTTCAGATTTCGGATAAATCTGGTTTACTTATTCATGGTCGACAAGATAACTATGTACAACAATGCGAATCGTCTGAATTTATTTTTTCTTGTGTATAAAATTTCACAGGAATGTAGCTTAGCGGCATCCCCTCTACCTCCCAAAGTGAATGGTGAGGGTTCAAATCCCCATAGCGGCAATTGGGTGCGTGAGTTTCTTGCCCAGGAAAAAAAAATTTTAAAAAAGAAAAATATTGAAATTTCCAGGTCTTTTAATATCTTTCTGTTCTAATATTAGAAAGAGTAAGATGTCGCCTACCCCAGTAGTTGGAAAAAAGGTTTGATTGTTGATGTTGTTGCTGTAGTAGTAGTAATATGTGATTAGTAATCCAGTAAAAAATGTCATCTATCTTATGAAATGCATAATTATGTTTGATTTTTCACTCAAATCGTTTTCTTTTTCCTGCCTCCCTTTACAATATATTTGATGCTCTGGCATTTTATGTAATATGAATGAAATGTTATGAATAGTATCTGAGTTTATATACGGAAGTTAAGAATACGTTGGGACTTAATACTCCATATCTGAGGTTTGTGTTTGGTAAAATATCTTAAGCTTGTCGCTAGATTAACTTCCTTTCCTATATACGTATATTTTTTTAAGAGTTGCTCGCCTGTACATAGAATAATTGTTTAATGCTTTTATAAATTTTATTATAGTCTTACCTTTTTGTCTTTATTTATTTATTTTTTATATTGCTGGCTTGACATAGTCCATTTTGAACCGATTAAGGCATCCTGAATTTCCTATGTCCAAACTTAGATTGCAGTATGATATTATTGAAAAATGTAGCATGATACAGTGAATGCTAAATACTTCCTTAGCATGCAAAATATGTCATACTTAATAAATTAAATTTCTCCATAATGACATTATTATAGTATCATATAGAGAGCACCATTTGCATATAATATTGAGGTAGAATGATGTATTTTATCATATTGGCTGAGTTTTGTGCTGCAGCAGTTAGGATGTAAACATCATAACAGTGAAATCATCCTTTCAAACCTGCATATACCTAACGAAAGACTACTAAGTATAAATAAAAATAGATTAGAAAAACAGAAGAAAAACAAGCAAAGTAAATCAATGTTTTTTGTCGAGAATGCGTAGAGTATCAATTTATAGGAAAATATTGAAAGCATGGGATTCCGTTTTTGGTTATTCTCCCTTTATTTAAGTCTTGGAAGCAGTTTAAAATATTTAATGATATGTGCATGAACCTGTTTCCCGTTATCATTTTTATCTTCTTTTAATTGCTTAGTTTTCTATTGTTAGGAGTAAAGTTATTATGAGACACCATCTTCTTTGTGAAGTTTAAATAATATGAAATGAAAAAGTCAGGGTAAACTAAAGATGCAACAATACATTATGGGTGCTTGTGGGGCTCACATTTCCGTTTCTTTTCTCCTTTTTTCTTTGTCAATTATTAAATATGATTGTCTGTAGTCAGACAACCACATATATAACTATTATGGAGAGAATAGTAAGGTATACATACATACATACTTATATGTATATATATATGTGCGTAAGGGATATGTTCTTTGATAAGAGGGTCTTTGCCAGTAGCCTATTACTTACCTTGTGGTTCCTTGAAATTTACACAATCTGTTCTCTCATTCTGTGCTTACCCCAACCGCGTGGCAGCCATGGAAACTTCCCAATCTCTCTCTATTGAGAGCTTCTCATACGGTTGGTTAGTAAACCTAAAGCCATCTTTTGATAACCTAGATGGTTCCCTTAGGGCTTCCATTGACGCATCCGATGAAGCTTCCTTCATCGAGATGGACCCCAATTTACCACCCTCAAAGAGATTCTTTATAGGTTCACAGGATTTCAACTTCGACTTACCTACATCACAGTATCCTCTAACTCTTGTTCATGCTGACGAGCTCATCTCCAATGGCTTCCTTATGCCATTAGTCAAACCATTGAAAATGGAATCATATGATGCTTCAGATTCCACTCCGACCACACCTATCTCTTCCCATGCCCAGAAAAGTGGGAATTCAGCTAGTAAGCTTCGTTGTTCATCATTAAGAAGGTATCGGAAATTATCAAAACGATTCTTTCAGAAGTACTTGGATTTTATTACGCCACTGTGCCAAAATTTACGCGGCCGAAGACCTGGCTCTCGAGCTGAAACAGTCGTTGCAAGAATGCAAGAAGTGAAGAACTGGATATATTCCCCGGCAACATCTCCGAGGTCGAGTGTAGCTCACTCTGTTGATAATTGGCGTAGGTCTTGTGATTCTGAGAGCTCGATATATGATGCAGTGCTCCATTGCAAAAGATCCATTGGTATGTCATAATTTCTTGTGGTTTTCACCGTCAAATTTTTATGTGTTCGGAAATTTGGCAGGTTTTGATATTCTATTGAAATATGTTATTTTCAGGTAAATAGATGAAGCTGTTGGAGACATCGTAGAATGAAGACAAGAAAAGGAGATGGGCAAGCAATGAGAGGTCTCAAGAAGATCACCGGTCACTTGTTTATCGTCCTCTTCGTCTTGATGATAATGTAAATTTGTCTTTTAGGGAAGTCGAAGCTGTATAGATGATCGGCCATGGTTATTCTACCATTTGGGCTGTGAGGAAGAAGATAAATTATGATTTATTTTTTGTCTTTTTTCCGACGGAGAAGAAATTTCCAACTAGAAGGAATCTCTCAACCTCGGTCCTGTGAATTTTTTATTTAATGAAATCATAATTATTTAATATAAGTTGAATTTCGGGACGCAGGAACGTGTGATGAATCTGAATGGATTGAAATTATGAAGTTTTATCGCTATTCTTGTTAGCTCAACTTGGAGATTGGACCGCATGGTTAAACTATAAGGAACAAAACTTTCTAATTTTAGGTGGTTAGTCACAGGTTTTACAGTGTACTGGTGACTAACAGGTCCAAGTTAATTGCAAGTTATGCAAAATTTTGGTCCTTTTATTCTTTTGAAGTTTCTCTCAATACTCTCAGAATGTCTTCTCGTATGGCCACCTTTCATAAGATGCTGCAAAATCAGTGTTTTATGGTACAAGCTCATGGAATATTTGTGCATTACCCGTCTGTGGGTGACCGTCCGAGCTTTATCCGATCCATGTTGAGGGGTCTTGGAATTTAGTCGGGGCGAAGCTCCGGATGGTTAACCTAGATGAAAAATATTTGTGCATGTTCCCAGCTATGCTCTCAAATGTGTGTGTGTCACAGGGGTAAATTCTGAACACGAATCTAGTGCCCTGTGAATGCACTAAGCCAGAAATATGAACAACTTTTCTAAATTTCTAACTTAGCTCAGCCAACTCACACTTACTGCCTAGAACACACAGTAAGTAAAACACTCTCACACACAAATATAGTTGTAAGAATGTAAAGACAATAACACCCACAAATTTACAGAAGCACACGGCTTCCAACCTTTTACTATTATTCACAAAATAGTACAAGGAAATGTCTCAACCTACAGAAGCATATAAGAGTCTCTCACAACACAACTCGGTGTCTCACTCTCAATCTGCCCTCTCTACAGAACCCACATTAGCAATATATAGGCAAACTCTCAAAACCGCCCACAACTGCCTACTAAAGTGGTGGATGATACCCCCATCCACCCACAACTATCCACTAAAGTGGTGGATGGCACCCCCATCCACCTAGGGTCATGTTGGCACCCACTAAGTGTGCCAACACTACATATGTAGTTGACAAGCCCAACTACTAGCTTGTTGGCATGCTCTGCTCATGCCACGTGTCCACAGGAAGTTGCACTCAATATAGTGGAAGAAACCACCTCCAACCGCCTGTGTGTTGTCCTCTTAAATCTGTGCCATATGAATGTGAAGTTATTCAGCACACCCCCACTCCTCACATGAGTGGGAAGTGCTAGTAACTTCCCCCAGCCAACTGAGCCCACTTAGTGGAAAGTGTAACTTCCCCCAACCAACTGAGCCCACTTAGTGGGAAGTGTTAGTAACTTCCCCCCAACCAACTAAGCCTACTTAGTGGGAAGTGTAACTTTCCCCAACCACCTGAGCCCACTTAGCCATCTTCTATAACCATAAGCCATGTCTGAGTCCCTTGAGCCAACCTTGCACGCTGAGCCTTGCCTATGCCCACTGCCTTGTGCCCATGTCCCTGACTTGACTATGCCACACGTCCATGACTTGTGTGGTCCATGCTTTAAGCAACATCTGAGCCAACCTTGTGAACTTGGCCCGTGCCAAGCCCACTAATCTGCACCCACATATAAATGTCTTAGAGTGCACGACATCAAAATCGAGTGCTGTCTGCGCCAACCATCTTTTATGGACTCAAAGTACCTCCCATAAAGATCCCGAGCCAAAACTCCAAACTTCACTTTTTCGCCATATTTACGAAAATGCCATTAGGCACCCCCAGTGCACGCTGACAGCATCCCATGGCTGTCAGGGGGCTTGTCAAGGTCCAAATCCCATAACAGTGTGCATGACACAAGTTTTACTGTTTACATATTACACACACCTTCTGGTGGAACAAAACTAAGGCTTGGCTTAAAATATTGGGAAGCTATACCAAATTAGTACAATGTTTATTATTCTATACGTATAGACTACACATCATCGGCCCCCCCCCCCCCCCCCCCCCCCCGGTCTTTTCTGGTGGAACAAAACCAAGGCTTGGTTTAAACTATTGGGAAGCTATACCAAATTAGTACAATGTTTATTATTCTATACGTATAGACTACACATCATCGGCCACCCCCCCCCAAACCAAAAACTCACAAGTTTAAATCAAACTACTGAAATTTATTAAATTTTAAAGTAATTTTCTTCTGATTCAAGTCTAAAAAAAATCAAATTCATTCATCCAAACACGAAGATAATTAATTTATTTATAGCTTAAAACTACATTCTTGGTTGTCTGTTCATAATCATTTTGATTTTATCAAGATTATTTATTTTTTTCTGACTAGAAACTCACATGCACACATGTCCTTACAGAACTTGAACTCTCGACTTTTCCTTTTGAAAGACGAAAAAGTATTAACTAAAGCTTAAAATCAATTTATTTATTTATTTTTATCTTACCAAATAACTCCAACAGATATTTAAGACCCTTTTTGAAAGAGAAAAAATACCATTAAGCGAGTTGAATTCAAAATGTCCGAATTTACCATTCGATTATGAGAATTCAGACCACACGTATTAGTTACTCACTTGATATTTTTCTTTACAAGATTACTCTTATTATCCGTAATCATCACAAGGGCTGCCATGAGCCATCCACATTAGATTATATATAATTGCATAGAGATTTTTTATATGACTTGTGCTTTTTCATTTTTAATAAAAATGAAACTCGAAAATTGCAAACCCAATCCAACCAATGAAAAAGGCTTTCACGTCAAAAACACTCTTGTTTGTGTAGCTCTCAAGTTTTGTATTTCAAAATGATTCCTTTTCATAAAACAACAATTTTGGTTGCTAGGCCCACCACGAGGACATCACGTGATACCTCACATTATGGGATTCCTTATCTTCTCTGGTTTGATATGAATGTAGGTAGGCTCAGTTCTGTCCATTCACGAGCTAAAGTTGTCTCTCGAATTTAATTAATTAACTGATGAAATTATTTTGCATTATACAATTTTTATTTTTATTTTAATTTTTTTGTAGTTCACTTTGGCAAGTGGCAACTATGACTACTTTTTCTCTGAAAAAAAAAAATAATAAAATAAAAAATAAAAAAAACAACTATGATTACTTTAAAAAAGAATATTTTCCAAAAGTTAAGCATGATCTATGTTTTTTTTAGGAAGACAAAATGCCGACTGTTCTCTTAATAAGGATTTAAGAAACCCTCAATCTGTGAGGAGCTGTGTTAATCTTTGAAAAAAAAAAAAAAAAAAAAAAACATTTCACGTACAATCATATTTATGTAGGGGTGGAAGTCAAAATAATTCGAATATAATATGGAAATTAAATATAATTTTTTACAAGATTACTGTTATTTTCCTTTACAAGATTTGCTTGATATGGAATTAGCATGTTTGGATTGACTTTTATTAGTGTTCGCATAATCTTCTCGTTTAACTAATCATACGTGTTGAGTTCTTATTTTAGTGCTCAACTTTTTTATTATATTTATATTTTACGTCTTAAGTTGATAAATGGGTTAAATAGGTTATTATACTGGTCGTAGCGTGTCCTATCTATTAAATGAATTAAATGGTTCTTGTCGTGTTAACTGTTTAACAAATTGATCGTGTTCGAGTTGACGTATATAACAAAATACTATTTGGTTGATATAACATGAATATAACCCGCCAACACGATCACCACCCCTAATTTATGTGGAGGTCATTGTGATATGATGAGAGATTTTTTTGCTCCGGTGATACCACATCATTGGTGTTATCAACCAATTATGCCTTATCAAATAAAAAAATATATACATTTATTTAGTAGGTCCTATCACTACACATAAACATCTAATTAGCTAATAATGCCATATTATCAAAATAACCGGACCATTAAAATATTTCTCCAAATGTGAGTGGCAATATCTCAGCAGCCATCACATTTTGTGATACTTAAATATGAATCATTTCTGAAACCTATGATAACTCAAGGCCCATTACCCAATGTGTCCCAAATTGAGTATCAGTGCTTGAAAATCCATGTTCTTCATTTTCCCAATCCACTGATGATGTAGTACCGATGAGTACCAGAAAAATAAATAGCCCAAGTTGGATGGTTGGCCCAATATTAGCTGGAGAAATGATAACTACTATCAGTACTTGGTGATCAAGTCATGAAAGAAGAAGAAGATCACATGTGCAACAAGTAGGAGAAGGGAGACATGGACAAAATATGCTAGGAGAAAGGCCAAAAGTTGATGATAAAGCTTTTTTGTCTTCCTTCTTGTTTTTTACTTCCTCTCTTCTCCAAGAAGAAGAACAGCCACAGCAGCCCCAATTGCATGACTTTGTCCTTCCCTTGTTGCTAGCTATATCAATTTAGGATGAGGGGACCAAACCCTCATGCCTGCCCATTTGCTGCTCACATTCATCCTTCAGTCACTGTTGCTTCTAATAAGACACCGTCTAGCTGACTCACATTATGGGCATGTATCACTGCATTGAATTGCAAGATGAGAGAATGGGAATCTTCAAAAACCTAGTTGGTAGAGTGCCCAGCTCCCTAAGCATAGGTATGCCTATGTAACCCCGTGTTCAAGTCCCTCATTTCCCTCCCTGCTAGGATAAAAAAATAAAAAAAAAAAAAAAAAAAAAAAAAAAAAAATTAACATCTTGAAGTTGTTCAAGAACAAATTTGAATGTGGAACCAAAATCGAAAGAGAAAACCAAATAGGCATAAGAATATTTGTCATGTTAAAGAATGAACATAGAGGTTGGAATATGAGAGAAATTAAAGCTTACACCATGGATGTTGCATAGCACTAAATTGTGTCTGGCCTGCGATATTATCAAAGTCTGTATGGTCTAGTGGTATCTCTTCTACGTTATAGTGAAAGGTCAGAGTTCGAGTCCCATAAGAACGGGTTCGTAAGTTTCTTGACAATGAAAAAAAGGAAGAAGTAACACGCCTGCAAATCCTGCAATTATACTTCCACGTATTCTTAAACCCAACAACACACAACATGTTTGAAGTTCTGTTTTATTTTCACAAATCCAACTGAGAAAACCTATGAGACAAACTTTTATCCTTAAATAAATGTTGAACACACAAAAACAAAGGTATGGTAATTAAATATTTAAATCAAAGACTCAGAATTGATTTTTGCTAGGTGTAAATAATTTTTTGAAAGGAACATGTGAGTACCAACTCAGAAAAGAAAAATTCAATCAAAGATAACTACTGTCCCTATATATATAGGATCGAGTTTAAAATAGGATTAGAGTGGAACTCATTCAACTAAAAAATGGCTAAAATATGTGAAGTTATCAAACACCCATCAAAAACAACCAACCAGCCTGAACTTTTCTCTTTCTTTTTTTGGTTAATAAGGTTTTTTATTAAGCAAGGCTTAGACTTAAGAGGCAATGTTTTGGTGAAGCATGGTTCACACAAAAAAATTATTTTGGAAGACATTATTTCGACATGAAAACAAAGAAACTAGCAGACAGAAACGTTGTTGCGTATGTCGGAAGGGTGAAGCCTCAGATCATTGTTACACCATTATAGGACAACAACTAGTAGTGCAGGTAATTCTCAGTGTTTCAGACCTTGTGTTGCAGTGAGCATCCATTGAGCTAGACAAGGTCAGTATCAATGAGTTGGTTCGCTAACTACGTTTGCAAAGATGAACATGTACTCGTATGGACACAAAAATGAATACGTCGCCAGCTAGCCTGTCATACATACATACATACATATATATATATATACACACACACACACACACACGAGTAAAACATAATCAAATTTTACCAATTTGAAATGATGGCCTACTAGTGAACATGGAGGGTACAATTTCATTAATGTACCCTGGTAAAGGGAACAAAAACATTCTCTTGTACTATCTCTAGAGCTATCATCACCCTTTGCATCATTGTCTCAGCCAAACATTACTACTACAAAGCAAATGCTGTTCGATTGAATTCTTGTGATTGTGCTTGCTTGGAGCAGAAAAGCAGGATGAAGCTATCCGGTTTTGAGGTTGGTCATGAACCTCAAATTTGCATGTGCTTGTGTATAAGATGAGCAATAATGTCACTTTCGCGCCTTCACTAATTTTTAAAGTAACGGAAAAGAGGAAAACCTTTTTCGTGACTTTTCAATGTCTCGTGATTGGAATTTTTTATTATAAGAATAGCAGTGATAGAGAGCATTGAGACTAGACACATTCGACCAAATTTATGTAAGTAAAAGATGAACTTAATTATAGTTAATTCTATGCATTAGTTTGAATAATAAACACACATATAGAGTGAGATATACATAGAAACATAGGGTCTGTTTGGTTTATAACTCCGAGAACAGTTTTCTGAACATAAAATTAAAAATACCAAACTATACAAAAAAACTCTACTTGGTTCAGTTTTTTGAAAACTCAGTTATAAAAAAATCTGTTTTCAGATAACTGTCTTTTATAATTTTTTGAAAACAGTTTTCTGTTTCTAAATTCTTGAAATTGTTTTCATAATTACAAATTAAGCAAACTCATAACTTTTAAAACTAGTTTTTCAAGATTAATGAAAGAGGTTTTTTTAGAGATCGATAGTGTCACGAGGATTTGTTACCCCAAAGAATTATGGGTAGTATATGATTGAGCTTGAGTGCACCAATTTAGTTTGAACTTGAACATGATCAAGTTCTTGTTTGAGGTGCTACCACTGCTTGATGGGACATTTTGGGTTTTCGCGATGATGACATTCTTGGCTATGTCCTTGATTGTCGGACGGCCATTGATGCCAACAAGATGGAGTTTTCAAGATTTTGACGTAGAAGAAAGAGATCAGAGCTAGGAGGCCACTCAAACATATTCAAATTTGTATTCATGTTCGAAAATTTAGGAAAGATAAATATTCAATTTTATTAATTATATAAAAATTGGTACAATTCTACGTGGCCAATTCTTTACAGAAAAGAATCTTTCTCTAATCAAGTCTGTTTGAGATATCCAGCTACAAGAGTTGCAAATTAAAGAGCTCTACTCAGCTTCACACACACACACACACACACACAATTAAAGAGAAGTGGAGTTATGCTGCCAACAATTACAATCTTCGCAGGAGGCAAATATAGTGGGTTTTTAAGGCCCAAAATAGAGGGCAAATCATAGAGGGTTTGAGTTTGAAGACCCAAAACTTGGTAGGGGTGAGTTTAAATATAGTGAATTTTAGTCAAAACTTTGTAGAGGCATGACATCTTTTTGAGACGGAGATAGTAGATAAAAATAATAAATAAATAAATAATTCAGCAGGAATGCCCCCATGGCCCCACTAGCCAGCCGTAGGTCCATGATATATATATATATATAAAACAGTGTAGAAAATTGGTTGTGATCAACAGAAAATTATTTTAGATAGTTACATCGGTTCGATTTGGTTCAGTTTTAACTTTTACAAAATCATTAGCAACAATTTGTTTCTACTTTATCTTATAATCCAAATCAAACCGGATCCTGTGAAGCAAAATTATAGAAAAGTCAACAGAGAAGCTCCGTTTTAAGAGCTTAATATGGAGAAAGATGCTTTATAAAATTTTTTTTGAGAGAAATTGTTGATCAAGTCAAAGGGCTTTGACGTAATGGTATAATCTTTCTATATTCAAAGAGGAGGGGGAGGGATTTGAGTCTGGGCATGGATAAAAGGTATGTTTGCTTTACCATTCAGAAAAAAATAAAAATAAAAAAAAAAATAAAATCCAATCCCATTTGGAGGGAGAATATATTCAATGTATCTGGTGTACCGGACCATCACAACCGTCCATATTCACACGTACACTAAACGAATGACTGTGATGTGTCTAGTAAGACCGCATTGAATATCTTCTCCATTCGGAGGTCTTGAGAATCATCAGCCTGTAAAGCCCACAATCAGTTTTCCATCTGGCAAACTACATACAAATGGTCCAGAGTATCTCTATATCAGTTTTTAGATCGTGTAGAAATTCCAGTGACCAGCCAATCTGGCCCATTTCTACTGACTAAAGGCCCAAAACCTCTATTTTAAGAAACGGTGGACCGCCGGTTCGACATACTATAAATATGGCCATTTCACGGGTCGGTCAAACCGGTTGGTCTTTTTATGTTAAAAATTAGGTAAACTTTCAAGACTCTTTTCTCACTCGTTCTCAGCCTCCATTAGTCCGACAGCCGGCGATTGGACTGCCTTCCCGGCGTCTCACGCCGACAACTGGCGACCAGCATATCAGACCAAGGCCCCTAATCACTAGGTTTCTCTCTCTCTCTCTCTCTCTCTCTCTATATATATATATATATATATATATATATATATATCCTTTTTATGCAATTATCTGCGACTGTGCAAGCTCTACTCATTTAATTTGATTTTATTCTCTGATTATTTCTTTATATCGTCATTCTTTGAGGTGAGATTAGTGGAGGTGTTATTGTGCGTAAGACATTGCAAAAAAATCTGCTTTTATATCAGTTGATCACCTGGGGTGTTCTTTCATACATTGATTCTGTTATTTTGTGGGTTTTTATTGCTTTTCCATATTGCTTTTATGGGCATTTGCTTGATTCTCTGTATTGGTACTGCACATGATGGAACTGCTAATTTTGGAATGGGGTTAGTAGATGGGTTTTATATTCACGACAAGTATTAAAAATCAGTTGTCACAATATGAAACCCCAGGCATGTGATGACTGCTTCTGTATTTTCTGTTATCTTCAAATTGAGCTCCATTCCTACTGTCAACTTAAGCTCACACGCATCTCTTTCTCTCTGTGGGTGTGTGTGCCCGCCCGTGTCTCTTTGATTGACATTGGTAGCTACTATGATGATAATGAATTTTGTTCTAATAATATTTAAATCTGATATTTTTATTAAATTTTGTGTTCGTTTTTTATATATATGTATGCCTCAGTGAAGGCATGGGTGTGTGAGTACCAACTAAGAAAAAAAAAATTGTTGTCCTGCACAAGTTTGATGAATTTCACCAAGGGATACTTGTTTTTTAACCTTCTTTTTTTTTTTTTTTTCCTTTTTTCTTTTTTAATATGCAAATACGGTATGTGTTGAACATGTCTGCCACATCAAAAAGTAATCTAAGTTGAACATGTCTGCCATATTTATATGAGAACAGAAGTTTTTTAAGCAGATATACCATCTTTTTAGCCTCGTCTACTTGTTTAATATCATTGCTATTACTACCATCCTAAAAAAGTTGGACTGATATACATGACTATACGATGAGTGTTTTTGATAGATGAGAAGTTTTCAACCCAAGCGCCTGTCTCATAGTGGTTAAAGATTACCACCAAACCATGATGATTTCATTACATTAAAAAACGCGTTATGCTTTCCACTTGCTTATTAAAAGATAAATAATGACTAAATAAAAAAGGTACCTGGTTTTGGATAAGAATCAGTATCCTTTCATTTGCATTTCTTCAAATAATAAAATGGTAGTTTTGGCTTCTAATTAGATGATTATTTTATTGCAATGATTTGATGTTTATTGAATAGATCTCATCCTCTTTTATGTGTGTTACTAATTATGTGTTTATATGCAGTTTGATTCGAAAACAAGCGATCGGACAACAATATATCCTTTGAAGAGATGGCTCGATTTCGAAATGTAAGCAGTTGATATACTCCGTTATGGTTTCACCCTTAATTGCTTGGAGAGATGAATGTGGAAAATAAAATAAATTTTATATTTGTTTTACTGAAAACAAAAAGAAAAAGGAAGCTTTTGTTGTTCTTTTTTGTGTTCATTACATTCTCCACCAAATAAAGCTAAACTTAAGTCATTTCAACTCAATAGGACTTTACCCTAAATATTGAAGGTTGTCTACGTGAATTCTATTTTGCAATTCAATCTAAGACCATAAATTCAGTTGAACCACACATTGTCATATCCTATGTTACGTGGACTTGGGTAGGTGTGTTGGGTGCGCCAGTGCGGTATGTATTAAAGCATTAGACTTATCAAATTCTCAAATAGGACACAGGACCCTGCTAACTATCCGTATTATCTCATATTTATATTTTATTTTATACAGACTAATAATTTTTATTTTTTTATTTTTTATTTATATATGTTGTATAGTGCTTAATATGCCTTTCTTTCGTTTTGAAGTAATAATATAATAAAATCGAATCTTTGGATATGTTTGGACAGATGCCTCATACCCAAACTCGAATATTGTGTGTCTGATATGGGTACTTTAGAGTCTATGTAACATAGGTCATATCTGTTCCTACTATCTCAATTTGTGTGGAGTTTGATCTTTTTTCCCTCCTAGCATTACGTTCAATATACTTGTTATTCAATATCCATCTAATCTCCTTTGGGTATAATACTATTCTTAATCTTGGCTTTGCTTCCTATATATTTCTTATTCAATTTAAGCTTCCCTAAGATATCTATGTATTTGTGTTGCCTTTTAATTATTTTATGTGAATTGAATCAGAAGAAGAAAAAGGCATTTGTTAAGCCGGTTGTGAAGAAGAACCAGCCAAGTGTTGATCACATAACAGGTGACAAAATCCCGAAAAGCTTTGTGTTTTCGAGAGGTAAGTTGCCTAGTGCTCTCAGGCAACTGCAGATGGATTTGAGAAAGTTGATGCTTCCCCACACTGCTCTCAAGCTCAAGGTAAACCATTTATTAGTTCATTCGATTTAGCTATACTCATGGTCTTATACATGTACTTTCTGTATGCAATCATATTGTGCAAAAGTGGCTAAAGCAACTTTAGTTGATTTTTGAAGAAAAATGTCACTTCTAACTAACATATAAGTTGTCATAATTTGGAAAATCCAATCTCAATTTAACAAATTTTAGCTCCAATGAGTTAAATGATGTTTGATAAAACTGAAAATTAACCGAGACATGTTACTACTGAAGGTGTAGGGGTACTCCTAATATGTAGGATTGAATATTCAACTTTATACTTGTAAATTTGAAGTTAGTTTTAAAATAATCTTTCACTTAGCGCATTTAGCATTCAATGGGAAGTCAAGTTTCTTTGACTTGAGTTTGGACCTCTTTGTAATTGAAAATTACTTCCTAAAAGTTAACTTTGTGTTTCCTATTGCACTTTATGGAAAAAAAACACTAAAAGCTCAGGTTTAAGCATTTAATTGCCTAGTCAAAAAACACCTTAGACTTAATTATTCAGTCTTTTTTTTTTTTTTTTTTTAAAAAAAAGAAGAGATGATTAGTCAGAACAAGACGTGTCTAACAATCAGGGAGAAAATGAAGTTTATGCTGTCCTTTTGGTTCTAACTCATCCTATAGTTTTTCCCTTCTGCGTTGTGAGTTTATTAGATTTTGCAAAATTAAATATTAAGAAAGATATTTTAAATAGGGAGTGTATTCATTTTTATTTTTTGGTTGTGAAATCTTTGTTTTGGTGTGTGATAATGTTAATATAATCAGGTTTGTACGTTGGTATTATTTTCAAGTAAAGCAATTGCTAAATGTCCTAGAAAAGTTTTGAGGATTCAAATCAGACATTTCAATTAGAACTGCAGGGTAGACATGAAGGGGAAGTACTGAATCTAAACGGCTTCCTTTTTTAAATAATTTCCAACCCTTTTCTATTTATTTTTTCTGGAAAACAAAGCGGAGTAGTTCTCACTGTAACTTGTGTTTTATTCTATTAATAGCCTAAAAATAGTGGGAACACGGTCCTTTTAGTTTACATGTAGGTCTTTTTATTTGGCTGCTATACTGTATTTTTTATGCCATTAGTACTCTGATTAGCTAAGTTGATACTTGTTTAATTGGTTTACACTTGCAGGAAAAGAAGAGGAATAATCTCAAAGACTTCTTGAATGTTGCAGGTCCCATGGGTGTTACGCATTTCCTCATATTATCAAAAACTGAAAGTGCACCATACTTGAGGGTTGCCAGGACGCCACAAGGCCCAACTCTTAGTTTTAAAATACATGAGTACTCATTGGCTGTTGATATTGCTCAATCTCAGCTGCGTCCTAGATGTCCTCAAGATCTTTTAAAAAATTCACCATTGGTAATTTACTAAAAAGCAAATACTTGATGTGCACATGCACATACACCACATGCATTTTCTCCTTACAGGTGCATATTTATGTATTACCAGCAAACCTTGAACAAGAATTTGGTCACTATATGTAATTTCCAGATGGAATACCAAGTCATGCGTATTAATGGTGCTTTGGACATGCCATTTGCTAAGTTATACTTCTGAAAGCTTTTAATTGAGTGGCATTATGATTAATTGGTCACAAGCACACAAATTTGATATGCTTCTGGATTCTTAGTGATATTCTTTTTTACCATTTGATGGAATGTCTTGGTTCCAGATGCTAGTGTAACATGATCATGATAATCTGTTGCTGTAGGTGAACCCCTAATTGCAGCCCAATGACCGGTAGGTTCAGGGTCTCCTTTGCATTTACATGACACCCGTGTATTAAATTTCTGATGTTATATACTTCTACGTAGAGAGGGCAAAAAATACAAATGACTGACTATATATTTAACTCATGAATGATGTGCAATTGGGAATTGGAGGTGACTAATTATGGAAATTGTGAATTTTCATGTTATTCACGTGATATTTTTGTACCCGCTTTGATTCTTGAATTGAAATTTGGCAGATTGTCCTTTCTGGTTTTGGCACTGGGGAGCAACATCTAAAACTCACAACTATTATGTTTCAGAACATTTTCCCAGCCATTGATATTAACACGGTGAGTGCAGAAACAATGTCAATCAATTGTTGATGTCAACTCAGTTATTGCTTTTCCTCTTAATGTTTCACATGTTACAGGTCAAACTTCCTTCATGCCAGCGAATCGTTTTGCTTAATTATAACAAGGAGACAAAGCTTATTGATTTTCGACATTATTCCATCAGATTACAGCCCGTTGGTGTCTCGCGCAGAATCAGGAAATTTGTGCAGAACCATCAAGTTCCTGATTTAAGAAGTCTTCAGGATGTGAGTGACTTTGTCACAAAGTATGTATTCCTCTCATTCTTATTTTATTTTGGAAAAAGAGGGTAAATTACTCCGACCACCCCTTAGGTTTGCCTTATTTATCCACTGATTAAAGTTTTTGAAAAATAACTCTAACACCCTGTCAGAGTTAATATCAGTTAAAACGGTTAACGAAGGTGATAAATATACCAAACTATCCTTACCTTTATTATATTACAAGATGTCATCATTGTTGATGTAAGCACAATAAATTGATTTTACTAATTTACCCTCAACTACTAATCATTCATCTTTCTCACCCTACCTCCATCTGCAATCGAACCTCTTTCCACCACCGCCCCCTCTATCCACCCCATCACCACTAATTCCCACCGCCCACTGCACCCCCACCAAACCCCTCCAAAACTCACCATCATAATTTCCCCCCTCCTTCCACCCCTCTTCCCACCATCCAAAGGTGTGCTTATCATAACTCCTTTCCGGTAAGTGCGCATGTAGTGTTTTGTGGCCATTGCTTCGTTCTAGAGAGAGCAAGTAAAGATTGCATTCAGAAAGAAAGACACCACAGATTTGTGGCTCTGTTCTTTCGACACAAACAAAGAAGCCTTGGAATTGTAGAATTTTAGAGAGTGGGTATGTTTGTGTTTATCCCTGGAAAGACAAAGAGGGGTTTTACTTAATTTGTTTGAAGCTTTTTTTAAAATGTTGTTCAAGCCAATCATTAAAGTCTTCTTTGGAACTATCAAAGCTCTATTTATCCCATTTAAAAGTATAATCTAACACGCTTGCACACACACACTAGCACAGCCAAGCCCCCAAAAAGTTTTTTAGCTTCACCAATGACCTATGTTACATGGACTCAGTTATGTGCATTGGGTGCGGGGGCATGTATCCACGCGTTGGACTTGTCGAATCTCTAAATGAAAAGACACATCGACCATTGCTAAATATCCATGTTGGTTAATATTTTTATTGTGTTCTGGAGTAAAATAATGTCTTTATGTAACGTAGTGTTCAATATAGGCATTTCAGTCATTTTGAAAGCAATAGAATAATAAAATTGAATTATTGGACAATTATTTAGGTGCATCTCCAACTGAAAGTGTTGGACACATATCCAATACCAATGTCCAAGAAATGTGTGTTGGACATGGGTACTTCGCCTACTTTTGAAGAGTCCCATGTAAGATAGCCGACAACAAAAAAACAATGTTGCCATCATTATACGGACCTCCTCCAAATCCTCATCCTCTTCTTGCTTCACCATACCCAGACCTGTTTTTTTTGAAACCCATGAAAATTGGTAAGCGTACCAATTAAGATCTCTGGTTTAATGGGATTTAAGCAAAACCAATAAGAAATTTGATCGATTGGAGCAATTTGCAGAGGGGTGTTGGTGGTCGAATGTGGAGGCGGTTGAGAGAGAGAGAGAGAGTGGGGCAAACCTCCACTGCTCCATGTTAAAAAAAGGTTGCAATCATCGTAATAACCCAGGAAGTGGATCAGGTGGCTAGTGTTGCTACACTTCCGGCAAGGCCATTAATTTTGATCGGAAGAATCTGCTATGCCAATTACAAGTCATAGAGTTTATTTGCAGCAAGCTAGAGATAGCAGATATCTTTAATGAATGTTTTAATTTCAATTATTTTTAGGTAAATTGCACTAACCTTCCCTGCGGTTTGGCCTAATTACACACGGAATCAAACTTATGCATTTTGTTGCACTGACTTCCCTTGGGCAAGATGGACATTAAATTTTAGAGTGATTTTACCATTTTACCCCGATTTTTTATTGATAAAAATGAAGAAATATCAAGTGTATAAAATTACCAGTTTGCCCACGTATAAAAAAGCACTTTTTTTCCCTTCTTCCCTCTCTTCCTTTTCTCTCTCTCCACCTATGGCCATTACTCACTCCACCTCCTCCCACCAGAAACTCTCAATTTGAAGATTTAAAATAAACGGTGCCGGTGGGGACAAAATTTGACGGGCTTGGTGAGCTCGGCTTTCTTGGAGAGATCTTCCTACGCTGCTTCCTGCTCCGTGGTAGTCACTGTCGTCGGAATTGCCTATAGAATCATAGATATTTTTCCACAGCATATTCATCCTCTTATTAAAAAACAACCCAAGTTTGTAGATGATCTAATAGGTGCCGATATTATATTTAGGAAACTAATTGAAATTGTTAATTTTTGGTCACAAGCTTATAACACAAGTATTATAACATTCAAAAGAATTTAAACAGTTTGCTTGGACCAGGACAACAATCTTGACAATCTATGTAGAGAAAAATCCGCTGTGATAACTGACATAATTGATGATTAATCCATGCTCGCGTATTCTTATGGAAAACATCTTGTTAAGAAAATGTATGTTATCAACATTTGTATACTTGGCTTGCTTCATTAGTAGGCCATAATCATCAGCTAACCGTTAGTTTGAAAGATGTATGCAAGAATTTTTAATAATCTTGCGATGCTTCTCTAGTGCACCAATTGAGTCGTATAGGCTCCTCTAGCCTCATCTCTTAGATAAAAAATCTGAAGTTTGACTAACAGTGGAAAAGTTTGGACTCCAAATCCTTGGTTACAATTGTGCAATCTCTAGAGATGTCAAAGTATCTATCTCTTGAGGTTTGGCCAATCATGTCCTATGGGTTGTGATGAGGAGTGAAGAAAGTCATGCACCACTCTGATTTTATTAGTGGTGATAAACTTCTTGTACCCATTTTATCTAAGCCCTTCGGTTCCTTATTTTTTCACAGATCAAAATTATTTTCTATATTATTGTTATTCATTATATAGTTTCAAGTTAAAAAATATGATGCTTTCTATATCTACGCATGAATTTCATATGAAGAGGAAGGAACCAAGTGATGGTGGTTTCTCTTTAAGAAGAAAGACCAAACCATGATGCGGACCGTACAGCAAATGCTTCTGGGGATACACTTTGGTTTCTGATGGTTCCCTTCCTTTTTCTTTTTCTTTTTTTGTATTTGGGAATTATATTATTTTTTATTTATTTATTAATATTGATAAATAACATTTTGCTATATTATATATATATATATGTAGCATTGCTATGACTAGAGCTCATGGTGAGCTTAGATTTGACGGATGCGAGTCTGTTTCCTGAGTGTTCCAATCTACATGTTTAATCATCCAATTTAAATTGAGATATTCCTCTGTTTTTCTACATAGAAATTGAAATCCATATGAAAACCAATTTCAAGAATCTATTAAATCGATTAAAAAAATTAAATAAAACAAGGTGAAAATAAGAAAAATAAAAAATTGATGAACATTCCTCTGTTTTTCTATATATATATGTAGTGTTTTTTTTTTGTAGTGGTGGTGGTGGCGGCGGGTGGGTAGGTGGAGAGGGAAGGGTATTTTTGTCCATTAAAATAAGATTTTTTTTGGTAATTTGATGATACTAGGGTAATAGCGTCTTTTTCTTTTGGTTCATAGATATTTTGGTCATTGCTACCAATTTTTCTGACGTCACTAGCTAAACTTTAGTCGGAAGGGTTATATGTCACAATGGAGCAAACCGCAGGGGAGTATGGTGCAAGCAAAATGCGTAAGTTTGATGCCTTGTGTAATTAGGCCAAACCTTAGGGGAGGTCAATGTTATTTACCCTTTATGTTTTCAGCTGAATAAATTTTATTATGTATATTTTATATAATTTGATAAATTAGATATATTAAATAATATAGTATTAAAAATTAAAAAATTAAATATATTAATGATTATATTTGTTATTAAAGTGATAAAAATGTAGGTATTTTTATCCAAAATATTATGGTCCAAGTGGTCATTTCATATGATTAATAAGGTTAGTTTTGTCGTTTTGCACACACGAGGGCATTTCTGGTGTTTTAATTTACTTCTTTAACTGATTTTTAACTTAGCTAATAGTAGTCGACTAAACTTCAGGGGAGGTTTGCCAATTTTTTTCACTAGTTTAAGCCATGGGTAATTTAAGCAAACCTCAAGGGTGGTCCGGGTAATTTAAGCAAACCTCAAGAATGTTAATGAAAGTGAATGATTGTTTCAATAGAAATCTATTGCATGTGTGATACTGTGGTTAAGTTTTTATTTCACAGTTATTCTTGTCGTTTGTCACCTCAACTTAAATTTGTTGATTGATTCACATGTTTTTTTACCCACTTATTTATGGATCATATGTGGAGGTCAAATTATTGTAGCTTTATTGATTTATTAGATTTGTTTTTCTATTAATTAGATGATGGCAGAAGAATAATTGTCATCTGCATTCATATTGTTAGTATTGAAACATTTTAATCGACCTTGAACCTGAATCAGAGTTTTAAACTCGGTTTTTTTTTTTTTTTTTCATCTGCTTTTATATATAATAGTTTTCATGATCATTAAAGGTATTCTTAAGAGGGAATCAAAATTAGTTCAGGTAGCTTAAACTTATCAAATAACATATCAAACATATGTTAGATTTTGGATCTTGAATGTCAATCTTTCTACTTTGGTTTCTAGTCTGGTTACCTGTATACAAAAAATGCTAGACGAAAAAGAAGAAAAGGAAAAAAGTGTTAAGTACAGAAAAGAAAATATGATCTTATGATACTTTATTCAAGTGTATTATCTAAATTTACTCTCTTTTCTTTTCAATATATATATATATATATATAGATAGATAGATAGATATATATTAACTTTCTTTTTTTATTCCTGGAGGGCTGGTTATGGATCAGAAAGTGAAGCAGATGATGAAGCGGCAACTGTAAGTCTAGCAAGTGATCTTGGTAGAGTTAACAGAGCTTCAACAAAAAGTGCTGTCAAGCTTCAAGAGATTGGACCTAGGATGACTCTTCAACTCACCAAAATTGAGGAAGGATTGTGTTCTGGTGGAGTCATATTTAGCGAGTATGGTATGTCATCTTGCATATAATTTACCTTCTTTTGCTTTGGTGGAAAGCACAAAATGATTATAATGGAATCCTCTGAGATTGTGAATATCCTTAGCACCATTTGTTAAGATCAGTGATGAGCCATCATGGAAAGCTGATCCTTCCACCATATTTTATAGTTGTCCATTCGATATAATGGTTGCTTTGAATAGACGTTCGAACTTTAATGTAAATTTACATAGTTTAATGTCAATGTTGCTCTGTTTTTTTTATTATTAATCTCCACAAGGGTCTTGGAAGGCTTCATCCAATATAGGCTACTATCCTCCATTTTTTCCTTGTGATTCTAGCTTACAAAATGAATTGCATCGGGTTGCTATTTGCCTTGCCTATAAAACTCTATTTCTCACTTCCTCCTTTGCTTTGGTAAGAAAGATTAACCTTGTTGATCCACTTAATGATTGATTCTAATCTCTTCAACTACCTTTCCTCCCAACGTCAAATTGTCCTTATGTCCTCCCACAACATACTCTTTAGTTACCCCACTATCTACCAGTTGGTTCCATGGATCAAAAATAAACCTTACTCGAGTGGGAAATAACCCCATCTAGCTCATTTCGCCCAACCTACACAGAACCTTACCCAGTTTTTTTCGCCCACACCCCTCTAGCTCTGTTGCTTCTTACCATATTTGTCTCATGCTATGGGGTGAAACGATAATATACAGTAGATTGATTTTTCAACTTCATTGACCATCATAAACTGCGATTTTGGAGTGCCTAAAATGTGCCAATTCCTTTATGCATTGGTACATGCATGCACATGTGGAGGCCCCGTCACAACTAAAACTTTTACATTGCATTGTGATCTTTATATAATCTTCCTCTTATTGGCCTCAATTTTTCCTTTCAGGAAATAGTGGTGAGAAAAAGAAACCGGAAACTCAGGAAGAGGAAGAGGAAGAGGAAGAGGAAGAGGGAGAGGAAGAGGATGAGGATGAGGATGCCGAAGATATGGAGGAAGACTAGCCTCTTTGCTAACTTTCAAAATCAATTAGAAGATGGTACTTCCCGCACTGAAAACACTTGTATGATGGTTTTTTAATGATTTGGGTCTACCACATACTCATCTCTCTTTTGGGGTACAGCACTACCGGAAATATAGTGCCCATCTGATGAGATTATAATTTCGTCATCAAAAAATTAACAAGCTCAATATGCTTCCTATTTTGTTTTTGTTTTGCTTTATTGGAGAATGAGATGTAGATTTTTCTCTGTTAAACAGATGAGAATGGATATTATGCCAGAGGAAAGAGAGTTTTTAAGTCCTTTGGTCCCAAGATGCAGAATTGGTAGTGGTGCTGGCCATTAAAACAATTCAGGTATAAGCAAGCAAACTTGTCTTGTTCTTGGAAGATTGAATGACTCTGTGTACCATTTCAACAGAGAGATGATCTAATTATATTTCTTCAAAAAAATTTGTATTTCTTCAAACACTATAGGAACGTGTTTGGGACACTTTTCAAATTAGTGATTTCATTCAAGATGAAATGGATTGAATGATTAGTGATTAAATGAGCAAAATACTATTTTTTTTATATATTTAATAATATATTCTTGACATATTTCTGTTGTATTTGTGTTCTATATATATATATATATATATATATATATATTTTAGATTTGTTATATTGTGGCGTTCATATGGTTTGACTCTGCAGATGCCTCACTCAGTTACTAATCTAATTTCTAATGCTTCTTACTTTTAAAAAAAAATTAATAATATGGCTGGGCTCTTGCCCATTTTTTTGTTTGTAAATGCCCTTGGGCCAACGCTTATCTTGTGCCTCTGTTCCATTTTTGGGCCTGTAGAGTTTAAATTCTTGTATAAATACAATTAACTTTACCTCTCAAATAAAAAGTAATAATAATTATAAATAAAAATAAGAAGTTGCAAAATCCACCTCCAACTATTCAAAAGTCTCATTGGGTGAGTTGGTGGTGGCCAAGTGGTACACTGGTAGGGCACACTCCCCTTGTGGTGTTTAGAGCCGGGTTTCGACTCACCTCACCCCCCCCTTCCCTCACTCCTTGTGGGTAAAAAAAAAAAAAAAAAAGAGACAATCAAAACTCTCAATTATTTTTTTGTTTATCTGGAAAAATTAGAGGGAGGGAGGATTCGAACACGAGGTCATCCGGTTGGGAATTTTGGGTACTCTGTCAACTAGACTGCTGGGTAATAACTAAATGGGTAAATTCCTGTGATTCGCAGACCTAGCCCAGCTGTATAGAAATTAGCCCAAGGACCATAAAATCAGAAATAAAAGGATCAAATAGTCAATTCGGTAAAAATGAAAAGCCTCAAATAATCAGGCCTGCCCAATAAATGGGTCGGTAATAGAAACCTTCAAAAAGAAAATAAAAATAATAATGTGGGATTTCATCTTCTCTAATAACTGTTCATCCTAATGGTTGCTCGTGTGGATCTAATAATCACTGTATAAGGATGTCTCTCGCATGGTACGCTCTTATCCCAAATCTATTGAACAAAATAATAATAATAATTAATTACCAAATTTGCCCAATTTGACCTACATTTGGAGTCGGGAAGGTTCAGAGTGCTCCACTATATATAAATTGAATGTCTAAGTATAATCCTAAACATATTGTAGATGTAATTTTTTTTATAAAAGAAAATTAATATATAATAAAATATTTAACAATTATGAATAACAAAAAACATAAAAAAAAATAATGAAATGAACAAAAATACAACTAAAAAAATAACTTAACATTTTGTCTTTAAGAGTTGGGTGGTGTTACAAGGGAGAGTTGTTCCACATCGGATCCGGATGGAAAGTGACATAGGTATAAATGGGTGGGTATGCAGTACTACCTAACAGCTTAAGCTTTTGGGTAAATGGACAAGTGTTCACTCGTTACAGTTGATATCAGAGGCAGACCTAATCATTGATCCAGTGTCACGCCAAGCGTCCGGTCCGGAGGGCTTCCGAATCTTCACCCAAGGTAGGTAGGGTGGTCCGATCGCAACAACGGCATTACGCGGGTTCGGGTGTGAAAAAATGTTACAAAAAAAGACTTGTCTCACATCGAATTCGGATAAAAAGTGACATAAGTACGTATACAACACTATTCAACATATTAAATTTTTAGATAAAAAAACAAGCGTTCACCTGTAACATGTGGCCATTTACGCAAGTTTAGCTTTCGACCTTACTTACATAATTTCACATGCCTAATAATGTAATAAAAATACGCAAGCTTAATATTTGACCCTAATTGTGCACGACATGATTATTTATCTAGGCTTGACCTAAAAGTCCTCACATTTAAAATTCGGGACTTTTAACTACTACATCAAACGATTAATGGCGATAACTTTTCTTATATCTTAATGATAGATTTGGAAAGCAAAAGTAGATTATTAGGTTACATGTGACAAGTAATTAACTGTTTTAATTAACTTATTAGTAAGCCATTTGATGAGACCTAACAACTTTGAGCTCTGAAGCTTCTTTGTCTCTTCTCTTTCGAGTCTTTTCCTACTTTAAATCAATCATATATATGGTCAGGTTCACCAAGTTGGTGAGGCCCTTAAAGTTAACCAAGGGACCAATAACATGGCGAATTAGGCTTTCAATCAAAATCATCTCCACCATGATTTTTGCTTCTTTGATTATGACATTACTAAACCTATATATATATATATATATAATATAATAGTATAGTATTGGTCACTTGTTACTTGGCGTGCAATAAAATGTGTGCACGCTTCAGTTAGGTTTTATTAGACAATTAAAAAAGTAATTTATGTTTTTATATTTAACAATTAAGATTTAATTGTACATAATTTAATTAGCAGTCGAACTTTCTTACATATATATATATATATATGTATATAACATTATATACATATAAATATATATATTTATATTATATACTATATAAATATATATATATTTATATAGTATATATAAAATACCCCTTAAAATTTACTTTTTGAGAAAATAACGTCCTTATCTTTTTTAGTTTGGATATATAAATTTCTTAAAAGTTTAAAAATGTTGCAAACTAAGATTTTTCGGTAAAAAAGTAATGTTAACAAATCATGTAGGTGGCAGGCTACTAATTAATTATATTAAATACCAAAAATGTCCTTTTTAGTTCTGAAAATGCCCTTTCCCTTTTTATATCTCACCTTCACATTTTTGGGCATTATGGTCATTTTACAATAAGTGGGTTATTTATTTATTTTTTTATTTTAATTGAAGGAAGGTTATTATGGTCATTTTAAAACTTTATTTATTTATTTTATTAACAGAGAAAAGCACGGAAGACACTTGTCCACCCTTAAAACAAACGTTTTTAGGGGGTAATATGCCCCCATACATATATATATATATATATATATATATATAGACTTGATAATGACATCCTTTCAACTTTATTTTTTCATAATCATGGATGGGTATGAAAAGCTCTAATTGAGTGGGTTCATGGATGGGAATGAAAAGCTATAATTGAGTGGGTTCATGAATGGCAAAAGGCAAATAATAGTCTTGGAAATCTATTGGCTTTTGGTGGAGGATCTTTTGGTTCTTGTCGGATTTTCAAAGATTCACACTCACTTACACATATAAAGTTTTACATTCATTATTCAAATACTCAGAAAGAAAGTCATTTTAGAGACTTTACCAAAGTTGTTGCTTTCTTCTTATATATATTTTTCTTTTAGTTGGGTGGCAAGTTCGTAAGTTCATGAACAAGATTGGGTACAAAACATAGAAAGCTTCATACACAAGATCTTGTGACAAGTGAACATATGTAACATGTTTGTGTCTCAGCTACATTTTCTTGTCCTACAACGTTTGAAAAGTTTGTTCACTTGATTTCTTAAACATGGAATATTATAATCCATTTGGAAAAGGAAGGAGGTTTAATAATAAAAAAAGACAAGAAAAAAAAAAAAAAAAAAAAAAAAAAAACTCTTTGAAGATATGCATTATACATGTATTTTTGAGCATTAATCAGTGACCTAATTCCTAATTTGCCAAAAAAAAAAATATATATATATATATATATATATATATATATATATATACACACACACTTCCTGAGTTGGCGTGTTCGTATTCTCATATATATATATATATATATATATATACACACTTCCTGAGTTGGCGTGTTCGTATTCTCTTTATTATCATTTTAAGTTTAAGTTGGTTAAGTTATGTAATTTTGCATTTTATAAATTGTCCCTCTTTTGCACAAAAACCCTTCTTATATTTGATGGACAAAAACGACCTCACTAAAACCTTACACCTCATTAAAAATGTGAGTATTTAAGTAATTTAAATATATATACACACACACATGTCCACAAGTTGTATTTGGTTGGGTTTTTGTGTCCAAGTCCTCCACTCTCTTATTGGTCTCATTAATTTGTCCAATTTTGCCAATTCATAAAATCTGTGTGATTCAGTTTTTAATAAAACAGCAAGTCAAGAAAAAAGAAAACTCTTTTAGACAATTATGAAAAATAATTTTTTAACAAAAGTTTAAAATAATAATAATAATAATAAATAAAAAAAAACTGCAATCAAAACATATTTTTTAATTTTCAGTTATCATAAAAACAAGGAAACCCTTATTTTCACGATCATCATCATCTTTCCATCCAAAAAAACACAAAGAAACCAACAAAATATAACTAAATAAAGAAAACTAGTTCTTGTCTTTGTGTCCACTATCTAGTTTGTGTTTGTATCTTCTTTTGCTTTGAATTTAAGGAAATGAGCCTGGTGTGAAATTACGTGAATGCCCATGTTTTTAATGAGGTAACAGGTTCTAATGAAGTTGTCTATCAAGTGTGAGGAAGCTTCCTCGAAGGTGGAGACTGCCTTTCTAATATAATTTTTCAGCCGGCTAATGAAAGCCAAAACCCCATTCAAGGATTAGGTCAAGCATTTAGTTTTGCTGCACCATCTCCCACCAATCAGATTGTTGCCAAAGTAATCCCCACCATAACCCTAATCATGCTGCCACAGCCACAAAATCTAGGTTTAGATATTGGGGAAAGGACAGCCATTGAAATTGACTCAATTAGGTTCAGATCTTTCCTTCAACGATCATGTCACATAAGGTAACAAAAACAGTCATAAACAAAATGTGCATTATTAGCAAGAGGTTGATATTGAATACAATATATATATATATATATATATATATATATATATATATATACAGTCATAAACAAAATGTGCATTATTAGCAAGAGGTTGATATATATATATATATATATATATATTCCATCAACAGGATCATGCACCATATGTGGTGCATGTGGTGAATTGCAAATAATTTATTATAGCTCTTCATGTTTATGAGGATCCCATTTTGCCAAACTCATTTTTGAATTACTTTTTTCTACTAAACCTATTGTTAAAAGACATAAATTTGAAGAAAGAAGCAAAATATGAACAATACAAAAATATAATGCGGTTCGACTATCACAGTCTACATTCACGATACATAAAGCCTAACATTTTTTTTATTAGACTCTCTCTGAATTTTGTGTACAAAGATTAATTTTTTTTTATAGGTAAATTAAAAAGA